TAGTAGTAACAAGTGCCTTACTAGTAGTAACAAGAAGCTAGTAGGAACAAGTGCATCGCTAGTAGTAACAAGTGCCTTACTAGTAGTAACAAGAAGCTACTAGTAACATCGTCTTCACCCGGCACCCTCCGGGGCTCCACGCGTGTTCTGCCCGTCTCGACGGGTGGAGATGAGTGGAGACGAGCGTTGGTTCCACAGTTCGACCTTTGTGCTTCACGAGGTTCCACGACGAAATCGCAGAATTCTGAAACCACCAAAGACACAACTGGAGGAAAACCGTTTGGGCGGCCAAGCCCTGTTTCTTGGGTATATTCTTGGTATTTCTTGGTGCACTTGAATGTTTTTTGTATCGAAGGTATTTGCAGGGCTTCAAGTCACCTTACTTCAACGAGACCCACATCAAGCTGAGACAGGAGATGCATCTATAGCCGCTATAGCGGATCCCGGGATCATCCGGGATAAATGATGCTTAATTAGAATGATTTTAATTTATAATGTGTGTCTAAATGGCGTCTTTGATATGAAGGAGTTGTTGCCATCATTGCGTGCATACTCATTGCCCCTCATGTTTGTGCTGAACAAACACTGCGCTTAGAAGTATTTCTTAATCAGTTTACTAGCGATGGAGCCCTAGTAGCTTCCGCCCTAGTAGCTTCTTGCCCCTAGTAGTAAGGCCAGGAGCCCCTAGTAGCGTCCTTGCTCCTAGTAGTATGGCCAGGAGCCCCTGCGATGCTAGGAGCCCCTAGTCGCGAACCTTGTTAATCAATTTGTGGAAAAATGTGACCTTCTCAGATCACATCCCCACCAAACCTCCAGGAGGCTCGCAAGTTCTTCTGCGGTGAAACTCTGGAAGAAGCCTTGGAGTGCGAAGCCAAATCCACTGCACCAAGCAAGGAGCCACTTGTAAAAGTACACTAAGTTTGGCTGCTTCCCTGCTAATCAAGCTTCGTTGTTTGCAGGACATGCGGAAGCGCATGGGTGAGCTGGGACTGATTGCCATGGTGCAGGGACCTGGAGCTCACTTGAAAATCCCGCCCAAGGGCCTTTGTGGCGGTGTGGTGAAGCCCGAAGAGATCCTTGGCCTTTTGTGTGGGAGACGGAGAGGGGGGGACACGGTTGAGACGGTTTTTTGGGGCCAGAAAGGACAGAATAGAACACAGAACAAGACACCAAAGATGAGAAAGCAGATGGAAGGAAGGGAAAAGCAAGAGATCAAAACAAGAAGCACAACAACAGATCAGGCAGCTTTCATCGCAGAGTCGGAATTTGTTTTGGGGGTGAATCCGAAGCCCAGAGAAATCCTGCCCAGACTGCTCAGCGACTGCTCCGAGTTTCACCTACTTCCACGAGATGGTGGTGCAAGAGGAGCGTTGCCGTACCATGTGCCCTGGCTATGAAGATGGCTTGGACGGCGCCGTGTCCATTGGTTTGCCGGTGCTCCTGAAGTATGGCTCTGAATGGATGAAGAACGAGGCCGCGTCGCGGAAGAAGAACGAAACGCCGCCGACAGAAACGGGCGCGTGTAACGAAGGAAGATGGTTCGGACTTGTTCAAGACTTTGGCCACAGTACCGATCCCAAAAAACCGGGTTTTAGTGACGTTTCGGATGCCGAACGGAAAGACACCAGCTTTGCTTCCGGACGAAGGAAGCTTCCGAATCACTTCGATCCGCGAAGAGAGCCGGGACGTATTTTTCGGCAGCACCAGATTCCAGGTGCGTCCGATTATGAGGAAATGATTTCAAGGTGGGAGTGACTTTGTGATATTTAGTAATTAACTCAAAGTCGCTCAAAGTACTAGCAAAGTAATTTCGTGTTAAAACAGGTGAAAAATCATGTTCAGAAGTCATACATTATTAATACTGTAATTTCAAGTACATGAGGACCCACATATAGCGTATGTCTATTTATACTTCTAGCACGGGACATGTTCGGGTCCGTTCGGTTCCGTGAAACACCTGCAGGTGGTGCCTCCCATCATCATGGGTGACTTGGTGGCGGAGAACTCGACGGTTTCTGGTGAGTGAACGACCACTGAACGCTTCGATGCCGATCACGTCCGATCACTTCGGATCGCGAGACGCGAGACGAAAACGACGTCAGGGCCGTTGAGGACGGAAACAGTTGGAAACAGTTGGCCGTCTCGAGATGTTCGGCGGTGGTCACGATCGTCCGAACGTCGAGAGCGTCGTTGTTCGACCTGGTCGCCCATGGTCACCTCCAAAACTCAGGGCCCCCCAGATCGCTCTTTTGATGGGTTTAGGGTCACTTGTGCCACCTATTAACTACCAGGGAATCCAAATGTGCATTTTTTTTGTTCAAACACGTTCGCAAAAAAAAATCCGTGCATCCGGCCTTTTTTGTCAAATGGACAAATTTTCTGGAATTCCTCCGAATATTGGGTTTGATTGGGTTTTATCAATAAATATATTGGTTTTTTGTCGATAAAATGTTGATAAACTTTGGGTTTCATATGGGCACGCTTTTGTACGGTATTGTTTTTCTGTCCATACGGCTAAATACACTAATTCGTTAATTAAAATGTCCATACGATAAATTCTGTCCAAATACGGCCTTCGCACAAAAAAAAGTGTTCATACGCCTTTCCAGGTATGTTTTATACCTCTGAAATCCACTGATTCACCACCATTCGCTCTTTGGTTCTTCTGCCCTTCCGTCCGCCGCTAACTGTTCTCAGTTCCTCTTCGACGCCCGCCGGCGTCGGTACGTACCGCCGAACGTCCGGCGTGGTACGCCCCAAGGCGAGCAGACGGTGGTGCTCAGCATCACCGAGGCCTTCGCTGGGAGCGACGTGGCCGGGCTCCGCACCACCGCGGTGCTGGACGCCAGCGGCGAGCGCCTCGGCGTCGGGAGAGGACGAACGAACGAAGCGGCGGAGCGCGGAGAAGGCCGAAGAACCAACCAGAGAAGAAGCGGAAGAAGAAACAGATGGAACAGATGGACAGCCCGTCGATTTGGGCCCCATGGGTGGAAGGAGAGGGAGCCGGTTGAACCCTTTTGAGATAAAGAGCAATGTTCTCCTTGAAAGCGACGCGGAAGGACGTGATTTTCACGCCACCAAACCGTTCCTTCCGTCAGACATATCGGCCGAAGACCTCGGTAGACCGTATCCCCCTTGGAGAAGAATTCTTTCGCGATGGCGGCAAAGATCATGGTGTGGGCGATGTTGCAGCTGGTGCTCTCTGAGGACTCGGAAGAGTTGGGATGTGAGGGCCCCTACCAGGTTACCACCAACACCTCGTCTGGGCTCCAGACGCTTTGGCCGAGGGGATGTTGAGTATCCCATGGTCCAGACGCTTTGAGCTTGGTCGAATTCATATATGAGTCATTATGGTTCGCTGATTGAAACCGGCGCTCTTGGAATGTGGTTTTCCATCGTTGATCATGGTCGATCATGACTTGGGTCTTTGAATTAGACTCAAATTCGTGCGACTTGTGTTCCTTTTTTTCTTCAAATGCTGGTTCAACGTTGAGCATTGCCAGCTGAAAAACCTTGGACACTTGCAGGACACCTGCAAGGATGGCAGTTGCGAAGACGCTTCAGTTCTTCAAGTCTCAAGTAATCAAGCTTGTACCTGGAGGCTGAGTGTGATAGGCACCTCGGCTGGGCATGGCTAAGCACCTTGCTCTTGGTTTCTTTTCCAAACCTATTGGAGTCGGGACACCACGGGGGTGCAGAGGTCACAAGAAGCATCAAGAAGCATCAAGAGTATAGGGATGGAGACAGTAGATCTGCAAGTACCTGCTACATTCTCAACCTGCTTTTTTTTGGGTTGAGAAGTGAAAACCTGCTTTTCTGCAGGTTTGGAGAAAAGATCAGGAAAGCAAAAAAAACCGGGTTTTTCTCTATACCCGGTGTCTCCATTGGTTTTGCACGGGATGTGTGATGGATGATCCCAAAACCGCGGCTGTGAATTCCAACTCAAGGTACAGAGTTGGATTTTGAGAGGATTAACATGTAAAGAAACCACTATCAATTGCTATATGCAGGTCGGGGCTGAAATTTATTCAATGAAAAGGCAGAGTAGTCCATGCCCAAATGCCGCGAACAGGTTTTCGAATATGCCTTTCCTGCAGAAACATTGTATGTTTCAATGGTTCTCGGGAAACTGTGGGGCAATCAGTTGTGATTGCAATGCTTCTGGGACCCTCATGGTCATGCGTGATGGTGGTGGAGCCAACTGTCACTGGAACCCATGCCCGGATGCCCAGTTTTTTTTTCCGAACTGAAGCTGGGATGTCGGTGAACACGAGCTGGCTGTGCAACTCGCAGACACCTAGGGGACAGCCCAAGAGAGTGAATGAAAGCATGCAAACAGAACACCATGCATGCAATGGAAAGTTGTGGCGCTATACAACCAACCGCATATTATTATGACCGCTTCTAGCCATTTTGCTCAAGGTGCTTTTTGTGGAGGTCACCTGTTTCAAGATACAATGGAAGTTGTTGACCTTGCCAAAGAGTGGGCTCAAGATCCACATGTCCGTGAAAGAGTCCGGACAGAAAAGGCACTCTATGTTCACCCGGTTTCCCAAAAGTGGTGTGAACCGACAAGGGCAAACTGCATTTCCAATGCTTTTGTCTTGAAGCCTCTTCTTTGCCGTCTTCGGGATGCACCAGAGTGGAAACTTCCCTACCTGGAGCCTCTGCAAGTGGAGATTTCCAGGTTGTTTGAGGATTGCAATGTCCCTGTCGATGTCAAGATGGTCTACAGGGCATCCATGGAATGCAAGAAACTGCTTGGCTTTGTGAAGCGCAGGGCAGTTCGGAAGGAGCCTACTAAGGCTTGGTCCGTCGAACATTTGCAGGAAATAATTGATTTAGACCACTGATCTTTTTCTGGTGCAAAACATGTGGATTCCAAAAACCTGATGGTTGGGAAATGTTGGGAATACGCACATGTGTGGTTGAAGACCATTCGTTCCAGTATACGGATGAACTGCATGAATCAATGCTGTTTTTTGAGCTCATGCGCGCATGCAAGTTCACAGATTTCGAAAGCATAGTTATATTAATTGCTGCTCGGACCTGTGCAGGATATCCGTTTTCATGAACTTCTTCTCATCTTGGACCCTACGTTGAAGGACTGTGGGGTAAGTTCCAACAGGTGAGCCTTAAAATCAGCCCAATGAATGGTCATGCTATTTACATCCATCCCAAAACAGGTGGTGCACATGCTTCGATGAATCCTTCTATATACAGGACTTTCTACTGGTTATGTTTTCTCTTGGTATTTTTCCAAACCAAGTGTATTTTGAAGAGCGCTTGTGTATTTTTTGAAGGATACCATCGACGCCTACATGGCTGGTGCACACTTGGCCAGGGCCCTCTCGATTCCACCAGATGCTGTGGATGATTCTTGCGAGGGTGAAGACCAGCAGACCCAGCTGGACTTTGAAGAGTTCCAAAGGTGGATCAATGACCTTGACAAACCGTCCCATCCCGTTGAGCCCAAACCCAAGAAAACCTTTGAACCTGCTCCTGATTCTTGCCCGGTCTGTTTGAAGCCCAAGCTTTTGTGTAGCTTGGCCTATAAAAAACATATTTTTCCGAGGATCCTTTACAGACAAAAAAAGGTGTCAAGTGACAACTGCGACAATTGGATATGGGTTGCATATAGCCAGCCGGCTAGCCGAGTATAGATGAGTATAGCTCTCACTACAGGCCAGTACGGGTTGCCATCCACACTTTACAAGAATGTGTCCCTTCTTTTTGTCCACATCCTCCCTCCCATCGCCACTTGGCCCATGCAAGCAAAGGCACCTGCAGCACAATGATTGCAGAGCTCCGTGCCAAGATCGCAGCCCGCAAGGCTGCACTGGCCAACTCCCATGTGCTCTGTCCTCAGTTGATTGGGTTCGCCATTGCAATTGGAATGCGTGGCATACACAGACTGGAAACAAATAAAAGGCAATAATTTGTATATACTGCCTGGAGGGGTTGTGCCCAAAACTATCCTGCCATGGAATGGCATAGTATATGTGATAAACGCAGATAATGTAATGGTCACATGATTGTTTTTGGCTGTGCTTTAACGTTTCAGGCCCACTGTATTTGGTGTTGGAAAAATTTCAGCAATACTATGCATACATTCAATGGCACGACATACGAGCGTGTGATTACGGTGCTGCATAATACAGAAACACATAGCTATACACGTGCGTCTACCGCCCAGGCCCAGTGATTCGAAGACACCGACTGTGCTCTCTGGCAACTTGTTCCGGTCATGCATTGTTGTGTGGGGTTCTTGTTCCCCACATTGTTGTGTGGGGTTCTTGTTTTTTTTGCTGCACCGCCTCGCTCGTTCTCCGTCCGTGCTCCTCCTCCTTCCCCTCCTCCTTCCTCCTTCCTCCTCTCTCACACAACATCTCTCACAACAACATCTCTCACAACAAAATCACTCAGACAACATCCCACACACAACGTCTTGCATACAACATCACTCACGCAACATCTCTCACAACAACATCTCACACACAACGTCTCACACACCACAGCACACACACAACATCTCTCACACTCACAGGCGCAGCACATCTCGTGGCAGGC